GGAACGAGCGGGCTTCCAATCCCACCGCTATCACACGCAACCAGCTGTGGACCTGAGGGCAGCTCACTTCCCTTCTCTGGACCTTGTTTTCATCACTTACGGAAAGGTCTGCGTGGGCCGAGCTCTTGGACTCCCTTTCACGCCAAACTTCTGCGAGTCTCAGGGACGTCACTGTTGAAGACAGAGAAATAGGCAGCACATTCGAGAAAATGTTACATCCAAATAGTTTAAAACAAGAATTTAAAAGAGAGAGAGAGATTGAGTTCCAGCAGGAAGTTTTCCTGGTTGCTGCAGTTCTTCAAGCCACAAAAATTGAGCATTTGGGAATTAAATGGGGTCTTTATTTCTGTTCAGTGATCTCATTGCCTGGAAAGGGAGCCCAAGGCCCAAGCTGACAATTCCAGGAGAGGAAGGCCCCGGGTTGGGATGGTCATGGCCCTCCTGCCGAGCTGGGGTCACCTGTGAAGAAACTGGTTCCCTCTGTATTCTGAGTGAAGAGGGATCAGCTATGATGCCAGTCGCTGAGCACAAGAGTCTGCACCCAGGGAGTACTTGGGGTGGATGGAGCCTGCAGGCCTCCTCCAAAGGCTCCCCCTCTGTGGCCACCACACATGTCTGTGTCTGTGTCTGTGTCCGTGTCCGTGTCCATGTGTGTGTGTGTGTGCGTGTGTGTGTGTGTGACACCCTGAGAAAAGGGCTCTGCCCCCAGAGTCATGCTGCCAGGACTCACACCCACCTTTGCCCTTTCCCAGCCAGGTACCCGCGCCACGGGGACCTACCTTCCACTGGCCTCTGCTTTGCATCTCTAAGAGGCTGAGGATTAAACGAGTTGCTCCAAGTGGAACACTTAGCACAGCACCTAGCACATGCTCGGACGAATGGGGGCTACGATTATGACCATCATTTAGGCAAACAGTGACTGATCCTGCCGTCTTTCCCAACTAGCCGGAGACCCCAGAGGTGAAGGCCTTACAGGACAGGCTGGCAGCCATGAACCTGAAGATGACTGACCTTCGCAACCAGATGCAGTCTGTGAAGCAGGAGCTCCGAATGGCCCAGAAGGTATTCCAGAGCCAGGCTTCAAGCCTGCTTGTAGGGCTGGGGCTGGGATCGGAAAAGGGGGTGGCAGGGACAGTGGGTTCCATTCAGGACCAGTGAGTGCTGAGCCCCGTGAGCATCGTGCTGCTTCCTCTGGGTCGGGCTCTAGATCCAGTAACTTCCTTCCAGCAGCTCTTGAAACAGACCCATGTGGTGAGTGGGGTTGCTGGCTGCCTGAGGGACCCTGCATACATGCCCTCGTGGTGCCCGCCCAATCATGGACCGAGGAGGACAGTGCTGTCCTCCCAAGGAGGGTCCTTGAACCTTCCTCGTGCTGTGTACACCAAGGTAGATCCTGGGTCTTTCCTTCACAAGCCACATTGGACTTGGTAGCCTGCCAAGACCCGCCTCCTGCCCTCTGCTGTCTGTAATATTAGAAAATGAATTGGTTGTTTGTGCATTAAAGGCCCCTTTCAAAGGAAAATACTCAGACTTGGGATGCAGGCCCAGCTAGTTCCTTATTTATTTTTATTTACATAGCGAATTCTCTGGCGTTTGTCCTCCCTGTTGGAACCCCTCGGACCAGCCAAGATTTCCAAAACAGTGTTCTATTGTGGAAACAAGCATCAGAGACTTGTTCCCAGATCAGGTTTCCATGACAGGCTGCAGAGAGGCCCAGGGCACACGCTGAGCCTGTCGCTTCCACCTCAGAGCCATGAGGGACCCGAACACCTTTCCTCAACAGCCGCGAAGCTGGGCCCTTCTGGAACCGGACATCCCCAAATGGCATTCAGAGGCCCTCCTCCGTGCCGCTCTCAGACATAGCCCCTCGTCAGTGGCTTTTCACAGAGGGCGAGGCCCTATGGCAATGCACTTCCAGTAGCCATCCAGAACGAGCTCAGTTCTAGGTGACCGTGAGCAAATTAAGGAAGCAGGTTTTGGTCAACTCTGTGGTCTACTCATCCCAGAATGTCAAGAGCAAGGGGCCCCATCCGGGCGTAGTCGGTCCTTCCTCGTCTACTCTAAGCATTGCCAAGGGGTGCTGGGGACGAGGGTGTGACTGCTTTCCCAGGGAGAGATGCTTTTGGAGCGGGGTCACGTGGCCTTAGAGGTGGGAGGAAGGTCGTGCCCCAGAGGCGGGACCTTCTGAGAGCCCCATGCACTCAGCACAGCTTCTGAACACACGGCGGCATTGGGGCTCTGGAGTGGGGGTGGGGAGAGGGGGCTCTGTCCTGGCCACACTGAAGGTCCCCCCTCTGCAGGTGTTGGCCAGCGAGGTCGGAGAAGATGTGAGTGTTCAGCAGCTCCTGGCCTCACCAGGGACCTGGAGGGGTCGCGCTCAACACATTCTCGTTTTGCAGAGCAAGGTGAGTGAGTCGGCGGACTTCTCCTGGCCCCGAACGTAGGGCTCGAGATGCCCCGGGGAAGACCCACATTGACCCGCATCAGACACACAGAACTTTTATTGTTCTGCATTCTCCCCAGCCGGCCTGAATTTAATTTGTTATTTAATGAGCAAGCTCTTATATAACACTTACCATGTGCCAGGCACTGGCGCTTAACAAATGCCAAAGCTCTCGGTTTATTTTACTCCAGGCATATTTTTCCCCCTAGTTTACGTAAATTTGCTCAACTATTGTACTTGTAGGCTTTTTCCAGCTTCGTCCAGATGCTTGGTAGACTTTTGACAGTTTTAACGACTCAGTAAAAACTTAGCCTTGTCTCCCGCTTTGTGTTCTAAATATTTGGAGACTCCCTGGGGGCTCTGGAGCCCAACAGCTTGGACTCAAATCCCAGCTCTCGAGCCGTGTGGCCTCAGGCATGACACTCCTCTCTCTGTGCCTCTGGTTCCTTATCCGTGTGCTGCGGATGACGATAGTACCTACCGCACAGGGCCGTTGGGAGGACTGAATGACTCAATATGTGTAAAATTCTCCACACAGTGCCTGGCATGGAGGAAACACCACCCCAAGGTTAGCTGTGGTCGTTTTTCTCTGTTTTGTCTTCAAACCAAGAACCACAGGAGTAGGTGTATTATTTCCACTATTTGCTAAGCACTTTGCCTTCACCTCAGGGACTTCAGAGTCACGGCCCTAGGGTGGCTTTTATCCTCTGGGTCTCCTGTGACATCCTTGAAGCCCACGTGAAGGGGAAAGGTTTCCAAAAGACTGAAATCAGTGACCGGTGTGTGGCCTTGGAGTTCAAGAGACCTGGGTTTGAGCCTGGCCTGAGTTACTAATTAATCTACAAGTTCCGTGACCTTGGGCAAATCACCCCTCTGTGCCTCAGCCTCCTCACCCGTAAGATGGAGACGATAGTGCTTCCCCTGCGGGCTGTTGCGTGTGAAATAGAACGTTTGTACGGCACCGAGCACAGTGCCCGGACATGATAAACGCTCAACACATTAGTTACTGCTGTCGTTAAATGGTGAAAATAAATGATTACAAGTAACCCTGTGTTCTTTACTTAACGCTTGGTGGAATTACCACACAGTGCCACACGAGGGCACTGCTGTGTGCTTCCACAGCCGCACTGCTGCCATTACCAGAGATCCTAGTGAATTTTGCCCCGGCTCAGGTTTACCCAACTTCGTTCTATCATTTGTATTTTGTCGACATAGAAACCAGGGTTAGAAGGACCCTAGAAGTTGCCCACTTGAACCCTAGTGTGGTAAAGCCATCGTTCTGTGTAAATGCCACCTACCCGCCACTTGCTGATAGCCTACGAGTACCGGACTCTGGGCCAAGGGCTTCATCTGGGCCATGTTGGGGTAACTCAAAGTTGCTTAATCCTAAACATCACCGGAGCCCTTGTTTAAAATGCAGGTTCCCAGGCCCTCCCCTCGGAGCTCTGATTTGTTGGTCTGGAGTGGGCTCCACGATTTGTCCTTTCTGGAAGTGGCTTGGGAATTCCCAGGCTCAGGCAAGTTCATGGTCCTGAATGCTCCTAACAACATTATCGGGGTGTGCCCTTACACCCATCTCACAGATGGGGGACCTGAGACTGAGTAATCCATGCACAGTCACACAGCCAGCGAGGCTTGAGCTGGTCTCTTGGCCTGCAAACCCCGCTGTCTGTCTGCCACATCTCCTGTGAGTGCCAGGAACCCAGGGCCTCCCAGGCGGACTACCCCCTCTCGGTGGCCTGTCCCTTAGAGAGCTGTTCCTTGTACTGAGACCCTCCACCTCCTTTTCCTCCCAGGTCCCTGGGGACACACGTGTGCTTCTCAGCCTCAAACAGCCCCTCAGGGATGGGGTGATTTTTCTCATTTACTTGGAAGTTTCTCTTCCTCTGTTTTGCTCAAGATGCCACATCCCTCGGCACGCCAGTCCCTCTCCTATGGGGCTTCCACATCCGTCTGGAACTGTGGTGTCCTCTGTCCAGTGGGATCACCCACCGCACCTCAGGGCGGCCGCTCCAGGTGGCCGAGCCTGACTGCAGACGGGATGTGGGACAATCCATGAGGTTGTTTTACCACCCTCAGGTCCGAGAGCTTGAGAGACAGTTGGAACAGACCCAGAGCCGGTCTGTGGGGACAGCCAGTGACGAGCTGTCTGTCTGTCCAGACCCAAGGAAGCTGTCGGCACAGGAGAGAAATCTGCTGAGGATCCGCAACCTGGAGAGGGAGAAGCAGGAAGGCTGGGAGGTAAAGCTCACCTGGCGGAGGGGGGGGGAGGTCGGTGGGACACGTGGGACCCGGAGGTCATGACCGCCCCTGCAAGGACTCGAGGGATGCCTTAGAAGCTAGGGACTGCGGGGTGGGGGGGTGAGGGGTTGGGTCACCTCTGAGCATGTCCCTTATGTCCCGTCCATCCCCCTTGAGCCGCCTGAGTGGGTCCTCACCCAGAGCCCGTCTCGTGGACTTTGGGCGGCCTCGCCGTGGCCGCTCTGGAGATGTTGGACCTGGAGCACTCACTGTGGGAGGATAGGGAGAGTGTCACAGTCCCAGAGGCGTGCTAGGGTTCGCCGGACCTTGAAAGAGGAGCGCGCCCGGCTGATGAGAGAGATGGGTGGGCTGGTCGCCTTCCCAGGGCCTGCATCTCCCTGGCTGAACTGGGAGTGTCGGCAGCCAAACTCTGCCAGGCTAAGGCGGCGAAGGGCGCGTGCTGGCCCGGCTAGGGAAACAGGCTAGAGGTGGCCCGGCTCCAGGGGCATGCGGGGGTTTGGGGACTGGGTCTCAGCACCACTTTCTCCTGGATTCGCGTCACTCTCTCCCATGGGGACTCCTGGTGGTCCCAGCTTCTGTCCTTCAAGCCGGCCCCCACAGAGAGATTCTGACAAAGTCCCGGAATTGTCATTGGCTGGCGTAGGCCACGTGCTGCCCCTCCCTGAGCCAGGGTACGGAGTGCTTTGATTGGCCGAGCTTTAGGTACTGGGCCCCGGGTCTGGGGAGTGAGTCAGTCTCCCCAAACTGGGCCTGAGAGTGGGGAATAGGGGTTCCCTCAAAGAGAGCAGAGGAAGAAGCAGGAGGAGGTGCTGGCAGCCCGCGAGGGCCACTGCAGTAGCCCCGGCACTGGGCTTCCCGGAGTGAGGCCTGACGGAGAGGCTTCCATGTGTGAATGCCCCGTGCTAGGCCCCGTACTCGGAAGGCTGTGACCAGGGCCATACTGTGCCTCCCAGCGTCCTAGACCCTCAGGTGTAAGGAGGGGACCAGTGAGACTGGAGAGCCGGGCAGACCCTGCTGGACCTTGTGTGCTGGCCTGGGATTTGAGCTTTTATCTTAAAGGCAGTGCAGAACCAGCAAAGAGCTTAAGTAGTGGAGGGACGTGGTCAGCGTGCATTTTGGAAGGGTCATATAGTCAGGCATGGGATCTGGGTCAGAGGAGGCATGGGAGGCCGAAGCCATAATCCACTTGAGACGTGACCAAGGACCTGCACCAAAACGGTAGGATTCTAGCAGAAGGGCCAGACGCCTAGGACGTTGAGGGTTGATTGTATAGGACTCGGTGACCAGATGTGGAAGGGAGAGGAGCAGGAAGCGTATGGAGGACTTGCGGTGAGTGTAACAGGCGGGTGGGGGAGAGAGGGAGGGGGCTCCAGGGAGACGGGAGTTAGGTTTGAGGTGCACCTGACTCAGATTCACACATTCATACAGAACAGAATTTCAGGGAATCGTCGGGCCATCCGCCAGCCGCAGCGTGAGTGGCAGGAAATGATTTCCTGTGTGCGCTTCCTCTGGCGGGTGCCAGGGCCAGACAGCAGGGCCACAGGGGAACAATGGCGGCCTCCTCGCAAAGAGCCGTGGCCTTGTAGATGTGTCATGCTTCACTGCTCTTCATCTCTATAATTCTCATCAAGGATCTAAAAACACTTTTCCAGTGATAATTAACCCTCAAGACCAAATCAGATTCTATCGCTCACTGCCCAAAAGCCGCCTGCCTCAGTGTCTCTCAGTGCTGGCTCTGAGGGTTTACCCGATCTGGCCTCTGCCTGCTCCGACCTTGCCCCTGCCCTGCCCTCTCGCTCACTGAGCTCCAGCCACCCACGTTCCACCCCAGGGCCTTTGTACTTACCCTGTTCTCCCCCAGTCTCTACTCAGATGTCACCTGTCCAGAGAAGCCTGTCTCCCCAGTCCCTTCCTCCATTTTTCAGTGAGCATCTGTCACTATTTGGCATTATCTCTCTCCCGCACTGGGATGTCGGTTCCTTGAGGACAAGGGCTCTGTCTGTTTTGTTCTCGGCTGTATCCGCAGCACCTATAACAAGGCCAAGATTATATTAGGCCCTCAGGACATATTTGAGAAGGAATGAATGAATGAGCGATTCCAAAGACGTGTGCAGTACGTGAGTTTCCAGGTTGTGGCTGACCAAAGCGAGGTGCATTCCGGGGTGACGTGACAGGTGGAGTGGCAGGCGGGGCCTCCCTTCTCATCCGACCACTTGGTGGGGCGAGGCACTTCAGTTTGAACCCTAGACTTAGCACTGCTCACTAAAGCATGGCTTTTCTCTTTTCCTCCAGCTCAGGTGAGGGTTGAGGGATGGGGACAGCCCAGGAGTGGCCAGTGGGTTTCCTCCCATGTCTGACTCTGGCAGAGCAGGGGCAGCTGCCTGGACATCTTTGTGCTTAGGCCGAGGGGAGTGCTGTCGTCCATTGGTGACATCTGTCATGTGCTCCGGCAAGGGCTGGGAATCAGGGCCCTGGCTCTACTGACATGCTCTGTGGCCTTGGACAAGTCCCTTCCTGTTGTGGGCCTCGCCGGTGAGCAGAAGCGAGGGACCAGTGGTGGCCAAGGTCCCGTGCAGCCCCGCTACCCAGGACTGCACTTTCTGATTCCAGAAACTTGCCAGCGAGCGGGATGCCCTGCAGAGAGAGCTGGAAGACCTGAAAAAGAAGTTCGAGGGCGTGCGGTCCCGAAACAAAGTGCTGTCCAGTGAAGTGAAGACCCTCAGGAGCCAAATGGGGACCCTCCTGGAGAAGGGCAGGCACGACGACGAGCTCATCGATGCCCTCATGGTACGGCCCAGCCGCCGGGCAGGGCACTAGCCAGGGGCCTGGCTCCCAACACAGAACGGGCCCCCACCCGGCCCAGAAACCTGCACCTCAGCCTCAGCCGCAGTGAGCTCTCACTCGCCCCCCCAGATGCCACCATGGCCACCTGATGGGCTCCAGCCCCGAAGCCACACCCCAGGAACAGGAGCAGCTCAGAGGCTGCCAGAGGACATGAGCCTCTGGACCTGTGGACTCGAAAGGAGAGAGACATGGGTGTGGGGAAAGGAGCTGGGATCACATCCTGGGTTATTTTTCATCAAGGAATGGAAGGGACAACTGAGGGACCGGTATAAATTCTTGTCTGTGTGATAACACAGAGCCCCTCCCCTTCTGGGCCCTTGAGGTCCGGTTTATAATAGCTCGTCACCAAGGTAACTCCTAGGGTCAAATATTATAATCCCATTTCATCGATGGGGAAACTAAGACTCCAGTTAGTTAGGTAAGTCATCCAAGACCACACAACTGAGTCCAAACCAGGTTCGTCTGACTGTAAAACCTTCTTTGATTAGCAACGTGACACTACTATCTTCACTTTAGCCTGGTCTCTTCGCTCCGGGGCCTCAGGCACCTCAGAGTTTTGTCTCTGGACTCCAAGTTGTGCCCACAGGCTCCTGGGGTGGTCATGCCTGGCTTGACTGGGGTGCGTGGGGGAACTGAAGCCGGCTTAGGCACTCCCTTATTCCATAATAATTTCACCAGGCGAGGTGGTGGGTGGGGCACAGAAGACCTGAAATCTGGGCCTGCCTCTGCTGATACCTCACTGTGACCCTAGGCCAGTTGCATCTCCTCTCTGAGCCTCAGCTCCCAGTTTTTAAATAAGGTGCGGGGCTGGATGTCCTCTGAGGTCCCATTCCTTGTCACTGAAGAGGACTCGAGAGCTGCAAACCAGCCCCAGCCCTGCCATTCACCAGCGTATCCCTCCCTGGGCTCTGGACCTCAGTTTCCTCCACTACAGTGTGGACAATTGCCCACACCTGTTCCAAGTCACCGTCATGGTCCTTCTGACCTCCAGGCAGGAAGCCTCCACCCCAGGAGTGTCCGGGGGGGCATCTTCAAGGGACAGGGCCTCAGTCAGATACTGCGAGATCCCTGGCGAGGGGTCTCGGGACTGCCTCCAAGGGCGGTCTCCCAGCAGAGTGGGCTAGAATTCCTTTTTACCCACATACCTCCCCCACTGGCTGAGGAGCCACCATCCAAGCTGCTTTCCATTGTCCTGAAAGCCCCTTGGATGTCCTCGGCCCCCATCTCAGGAAGAAAGAAATGAGGACAGGAAAAGGGCATGGCCCCCACCTGCCTGGTGAAACCCCGTGAGGGCAGGCAAGAAGCCGGCCCTCCTGCATCAGGAGCATTAGTGTCCTGCTGTTAGGTGGCTGCAGGGGCAGGGAATGGGCCTTTCCTGGTGGTGGCAGGGAGGCAGGGTTCTTCCTTTGTCCTTCCTTACCCAGGGGCCATGGCTGATCTTCGTCTGCCCTCCTGCTTGGCCCCCCAGGACCAGCTGAAGCAGCTACAGGAGATTTTGGGCAGCCTGAGTCTGCAGGAAGAAAAGACACGAGCATCCCACCACCGCCTGGACCAGCAGCTCAACAACGAGGCTCAGCAGAGCAGCAGCCTCGTCGCCCAGTTGCGGGCCATGGTGGCTGAGCGGGAGGCCAAGGTGCGGCAGCTGGAGCTGGAGATTGGGCAGCTCAGCGTGCAGGTGAGTAGAGCACTGGCTCGGCCCAGCATCCATTTCTAGGTCCTGACAAGTCCGTCCACCAACCAGAGAAATCTCAGCCACGTCCACGTCTCTCTACCTGCCTTTATGCGGCTGCACTACGTCTTACCTGGTCCCACTTTGGCTCCTTGCTTCCTTCTGGCTCCCCAGCCCATTCTTCCCACACCTTTCCTCTCTAAAGCACAAACCTGATGGGCTCCCTGCTCTGCATAAAACTTGTCTGTGGCTCCCCATCACCCTCAGCCTCGCCCAGTCCTCAAGGGTCCAGGCTCCTTCCAGCTCACCTTCTCCCTCCCCAGCTGTGGCCTTCATCCTCGTGACCCAAGATGGCAGCTACAATGCCAGCCTTTACATTCCCAGTCCAGGCAGCGGGATGGCAGTAGCGAGGCCACACTTCCTCATCCAGCTTGCAGGGCACCAGGTGACTAGCGCTTGCTGCCACTCCTCCTGCATCTTCTCTTTGCCCCTCCCTTTTTCCCACACTCTGGCCGCAAGGATGTCATTTTGCTCCTCACGTGGCCCTGCTTTCTCCCGACTCCAGGCCTGTGTACATGCCTTCCCTTTCCTCCCCCACCGCCCCTGCCTGGCCAGCCGTTCCTCAGACTTTAGGTCTTACCTAGTGTGAGTGCCTCCAGAAAGCTCCAGGGCCCCGTTCTGTGTTACGTGCCCCTCCTGGGCACCCTGAACTCCCCGTGCAACCCCAAGCCAAGCTGCTGTCACATCGTGCGATCATTTCCCATTTTCTCCCTTGAACTCCCCTCGAGGGGGCACAAACCATGGTGCCTCAGTGCCCGGCACAGGACCGAGCACACGATAGATGCTCAGGAAAGGCTTGTCTAATGCGCGAGCTCCTGAAGCGGTTCTGCCTTGGCAGCTGCCTTGAGGGCCCAGCCTGTCAGGTGCCGTGGGCTCCGTGGCCACTCCCCGTGGTGGTGGTGATCCTCAGGGGAGGGGGGGAGTGGTCTCTGGGGAGGATTCCTTGCCATTCATACCAGTTTCCCAGTGACAGAGGAACCTCATAGCCAAGTTGGCAGGTACAGCCAAAGGTGGGTTGCAGAGCATCCCTGTCCTTTGTTCCCAGGGTTCTGTGGTCCAGCACAGGGCGTGGGAGCCCAGGCAGCCCAACCCCAGCTCCCGCCGCACAAAAGAGGACTGATCCTCACTTCAGAGGTCGCCAGCCAGATGGGGGCCAAAAACCCACCAGACAAGCTGGTGCACCCCGTGTGTGGAAGATCCAAGTGTCTCCAGCTGACAAAGGCAGCTGGCCTCTGGTCACACCTGGCTTTCATCCACGTGTCCAAGTGTCTCCAGCTGACAAAGGCAGCTGGCCTCACACCTGGCTTTCATCCACGTTGGGGCGGGGCTGCCCAGATAGGAGGGCCTGCTCAAGAGGTCAGTCTCCGATCCGCTCCGCATCGCAGGCCGTGCACTTCCCTTTGGGACCTGAATGTAGAACAGCTTCCTGGCCCAGTCACCATCCTCACATCATGTCGCTCCCTCTCTGAAGAGAGGCATTATTAGATGCCATTATCATGCAAGGAGTGCCTTCCCCAAATAGGCCTCGCTTTTCACTCCTGAAAAGAAGCCTCTTTCACATCCCCTGAAAGCCCCGAAATCAAGCCAGGGCCCCCTCCTGCCTTGTCCAGGCCTCTGAGCCAAAGCCCCGAGAATCAAACCCACATCTGTTCCCTGCAGCATCGTCGGCACAAAGGAGTGGGCGAGGGGTCCAGTGAGCCCGAGGTCAGCCCTGCCTACGCCAAGTTCCTGGAGGACCCTGACCTGACCAAGCCCCCGGCCTCGGCAGGCGATCACGTTGGCAGGCTCGGCTCTTCTCGGTAAGAAAGAAATGAGCCGGGGGGGTTGGAGCATGAATATTAATTATTCAGAAGACAGGATGTTTCCCGTTGCCTCTGATGGGAAGCCAGAGCACAATTTTAAGATGATCGTGGCCTTGTTGTTCCAATATGTGGGCCTGGCCTATTCCATCAGCCCTGCAGCTGTGCGAAGAAGCAGTTAGGCCCAGATATTTCTTCAAGAGTGTCTGGTTGCAGCTTCCCATAAAATCCTCTCGGAGCTCACCTGCTTCCAGGATTCACTAACGGTCCTGTGTTGGATTGTTCGAGGCCCTGATAGCTCCTGGTTCTGTCTCGTTTTGAGCAAGAGTTCTGGGGAGAGGGCAGCACATCCACAGGG